CAGCATTACCCAAAGGTGCCCAGACACCCTGGGGAGGAGGGCGGTATAAAACCCTCCAAACAATCCAAACGCCTGGATGAAAGCTGTGAGCTCTGGTGCAGCCCCGGCTTTTCCTGCTGCCTGAAGCCCTATCGCCTCTGGGAACCTGCTGTCGGTGTGTCGCTACCGCGGGTGTCAAATAGAGCTTTACGATTTCACGGCAAGCTCCGGGGTCAGAGGAGGCAGGCCAGGAAGGTGCAAAGACCCTGGCTGCACCCATTTATCTCTAGGTATAAGAGATCTATTGGCATTGGAAAAGGTTCGGAAAAGGCAACAAAAATGATGAGGGATTTGGAACGGGTCCTATATGGAGAGAGACTAAAAAGACTTGGACTTTTCTGCTTAGAAAAGAAGAGACGAAGTGAGGATATGACAGAGGTCTATAAAATCATGACTGGTGTGGAAAAAAGTGAGTAAGGATAAGTTATTTATTTGCTCCCTCAGTATAAGAACTAGGGGTCATCCAATGAAATGAATTAGCAGCAGGTTTAAAACAAACAAAAGAAAGTTTTTCTTTGCTCAGCGCAGTCAACCTGTGGAACTCCTTGCTAGAGGATGTAGTGAAGACTCAGACTTTAACAGAGTTCAAAGAAGAGCTAGATAGATTCCTGGAGGTTAGGTCCATCGATGGCTACTAGCCAGGATGGGTAGGAATGGTGTCCCTACCTCTGTTTGTCAAAAGGGATGACAGGAGAGGGATCACGTGAGGATTCCCTGTTGTGTTCCCTCCCTCTGGGGCACCTGGCATTGTCCGTGTCGGCAGACAGGACACTGGGCTAGGTGGACCTTTGGTCTGACCCAGACCTTTGCTCTTATGTTCTTATATAAGTATTAGCGTATTCGGCCACAATCATTCCGCGAAGCCATCACCAGGTGAGTGAGCGAACTCTCTCGGTGGGTGCCGGTAACACTGAAGAATTGCTCTTATCTAGCACCCTGCTGCTTCAAAGTAGTCTCCAACAGACAGGACACTGGGCTAGGTGGACCTTTGGTCTGACCCAGACCTTTGCTCTTATGTTCTTATATAAGTATTAGCGTATTCGGCCACAATCATTCCGCGAAGCCATCACCAGGTGAGTGAGCGAACTCTCTCGGTGGGTGCCGGTAACACTGAAGAATTGCTCTTATCTAGCACCCTGCTGCTTCAAAGTAGTCTCCAAACATCCCTTCAGCCTCCCATTGCCCAGTGAGGTAATGGTGATCACCTTGGTGAGACAGAGGGGAAGGGACTGGCTCAAGGTCACGGGGGGGGGGGGGGGGGTTTGTGGCTCCCCCAGGCCATGCCTCTGCATGGGGGTGTGAGTGTGTCTCAATACACATCTTGAGGGCCTTGAACTTACGAGCGTGTCCCACGCCACCCTTGGGAAGTGAAGTCTGATCCTGATTTTACAGCTGGGGAAACTGAGGCAGGGCCCTTGCATTATTCCTAATCCTTCCAGCCCATTGCATGGATTCTGCTGCGGGTCCACCAAGGATAGACAGGACCCAGGTGGGTTTGGTCAGATTTGGTCTAGGAAACAGCCTGGTTAGAACAGTGGTGGCTAGCGTGTGGGGCACTGGTGGCAGCCAGAGAGGGCTGGGAAAGCTAGCAGAGTCCAGAGGGGCGAGCGGCCGGGTTTTTCCAAGGCACTGAGGCCTCCCTGTGACTTCAGTGGGTGTTAGGGGCTAAGAACAGCTGTTATGTGACATGCCCAGGGCCCTGCACCAGAATCAAACCAAATCTCCTGCTGCCCTCAGCCTAGTTCCTTATCTAGTGCGCACAAGGGGAGTGTACATGCCTGCTTGCACCCTGATGTGGTGCTGGGAGGGGGGGCACGGGGTGCAGACTATCTGGAGTCAGGGGATGTGGCTGTATTTTGTGGAGGCAGCTGCTGGGATTGCTTTGGCAGGGGGGGGGGACCTGTGTGCTTGAGGCAGGGGTGTGGGGGGGGGGGGGGGGGGGG